TTTTTTGGTTGCAGCCGTCATTGTTGTTTGGCGGGTCCGGGCTGGGGATTCGAACCCGCCACCTTAGGTGCACGTGGCTGGCGCCTTAGCCGGTTGAGCTATAGGCACCGCGCCCCCCAATTATTTTTTTTAATGTTAAAACTTATACTTCTAAATGAGTCTTGTCTTCCAAAAATATTAAAATTGCCATACACAAGAATTAGTCTTGTTACCTGTTACATTTCCCACTTTCCCTATGTATGGTGACTTTATTGGCGACCTTTGGGATATCCCGTATTCTCTAATCTGGCAAATAACCTTAAATAGACTTGGCTAGTTTCAAGATCCAGCCTATTCCCCAAACATGAAGTTTTCTATCTCTGAGAATGTACAAAAGATGTATTGTAACCTCTAAAAGGAGTTATAGGGTGTTAGAAATGGCAGCATAACTGGGATACGAGTAGAGATTTCCTAACATGCTTACTTTGATAGGAGTAATCATTTCACTAGAAATGTGGTTTGGTGGTTAAACCAGTTTAATTTTATTAACATGAATTCATGCTTTCATAATTTATAAGGATTTCCCTTTTCACTCAACCTTTACATTCCCAATCTCATTTAGAAGTGGACAATAACTCTTATAAGTCTCTTGGAAAAAATAAAACATTCTGTAGTATCATCTCCTTTATAATTGCTTTTAAAAGAAAACAGATTTGAGATGTAATTTACATGCCATAAAATTCACTCATTTTATGAGTACAAATCACTGATTTTTAGTGAATTTACATGGTATCCAATGACAAACCCAATTACTCATTCTGTATAAAATAGCTTATTACATCTCTTCCACAAAGGCTTTCCTGAATCATCATGGCCTCCCCTCATCTGTACCATGTTTGATTGCTCAAAATGGTGATTCGTAAATGCCACAACAAAATGAGAGGGACATGATGTGGTAAACTTTTCATTAAACTAGATTTAGTCAATTATATCCTTCGAACATTTTTGGCACTACAAAGGCTGGGTGTGGTGATTCACGCCTGTAATCCTAGCACTCGGGGAGACTGAGACGGGTGGATTACTTGAGCTCAGGAGTTTGAGACTAGCCTGAGCAAGAGTGAGAATCCATCTCTAAAAATAGCCAAGCATTGTGGCAGGCACCTGTAGTCCCAGATACTCAGGAGGCTAAGAGAAAAGGATCACTTGAGCCCCCAAGAGTTTGAAGCTGCTGTGAGCTATGATGCCATGACACTCTACCGAAGGTAACAAACACTCTGTCCCCCCAAACAATAAAAAATAAAAAGCCCTGTTACAGACAGTGCTAGGCAGATGGTCAGTTTTTGTTTTGAAAATGTTCTTTCTTAACAGTCAATTCCATGAATGTTTATGAAATTTTACCAAATTGTAATGTCCACATTTCTAGGAACACATATTATCACCTATATGACACCTAATGCTTGATTAAAACTATTTTGGGGTTCCAATATTTTCATATTTAAGGTGATTACATAATGAGATGGTAAATTCCCATCAGGCAGTATCAGGACCTACTGGTCTGAACATCTGACAGTGTAAAAGCAGCGTTCTTCAAACATTTTTATCTTACAGCATACTTGAACCTACAGTCAAACTTCCAAGGCACACTTAAACTATGTTGACCAAAAAAAAGAATAAGGGGGGGGGCGGCACCTGTGGGTCAGTGGGTAGAGCACCAGCCCCATATACCAAGGGTAGTGGGTTCAAACCTGGCCCCAGCCAAACTGCAACAATAACAAAAAAACATAGCCGAGCATTGTGTAGTCCAGCTACTCGGGAGGCTGAAGCAAGAGAATCACCTAAGCCCAGGAGTTGGAGGTTGCTGTGAGCTGTGTGAAGCCATGGCACTCTACCCAGGGCAATAAAGTGAGACTCTGTCTCTACCAAAAAAAAAAAAAAATAAGAGACAATTATACTTACTATGCTTTGAACTTCTTTTGACAACAATTTAATTAATGATCTTCAAAATTTTTTGTGGCACACCTAAGATCTCCTGCCCAACTGTGTGTATAGCACACTGGTTGAAAATCAAAGCTGTACAGGGTTAAATTCAAGTTCAAAAAGTTTAACAATTTTATTTCCCTTTTAAAGTACCTGTTGAAATATCCAGCTTCAGATCCTGTTGCAGAAAGCAATTAAGCTTAGTCAAACCAATTTTTATAGTTTCATTAAGCTCTAGATTTTGTGCTATCAATCTTTCTTCATCAATAGTTATCTGATCAAGGAAAGTGTTACGCTGGTTCTCGTTAGTTGCTTTATGGTCACTTAATTTTTCAGTGATCTCCAAATGTGAAGCCTCACAACGCTGGTTTACAACCTGGAAATGATACAAATTAAGTTTTCTCATTACTGAAATTAAAGTTGTCAGTGCTTTATTCAGTATATCATTTTTTGGCCAGGTGTGGGAGCTCATACCTGTAATCTAAGCACTAATCAAGGCAGGCAGACTGCTTGAGCTCAGGAGTTCAAGACCAGCCTGTGCAAGAGTGAGACCCTGTTGGATTTGAGCCTGGCCCGGGCCAGCTAAGCAACAATGACAACTACAACAACAACAACAAAAAGCCAGGTGCTGTGGTGGGCGCCTGTAGTCCAAGCTACTTGGGAGGCTGAGGCAAGAGGATCATTTGAACCCAAGAGTTTGAGGTTGCCGTGAGCTATGATGCCACAACACTCTACCAAAGGTGACAAAGTGAGACTCTGTCTCAAAAAAATAAAATAAAATTTTTATTATTGAAGAAACCAGGTCTTTATTGAATATCTTAAATTCTGGATGTGGTCAATTGCATCTCTATGCTATATTTTCTTTTTCTTGTGTTTTTTGAGACAAGGTCTTGCTCTGTTGCTTGGGCTGAAATGTGATGGCACAACCATAGCTCACTGCAGCCTCAAACTCCTAGGCTTGAGCAGTCCTCCTTTCTCAGCCTCCTGAGTAGTTTGGACTACAGGTATGTGACACTGTACCCAGCCTCATATCTTCTATAAACTGGTTAGATCTAAAGGCTTGATCTAATTCAGCTTTAATATTTTAGCAAGAGTATTTCATAGGTGGTACTGAAAGTACATAATCACTGTTTGTGTCAAGATTAATCAGTGGATTCAGCCAGGTACAGTGGCTCATGCCTATTAACCTAGCACTCTGGGAGGCCAAGGTGGGTAGCCTGCTTGAGTTCATGGGTTCAAGACCTGCCTGAGCAAAAGCAAGACCCCGTCTCTATAAACAGCTGGACATTATGGCAGGTGCCTGTAGTCCTAGCTACTCAGGAGGCTGAGGCAAGGGAATCATTTGAGCACAAGAGTTTGAGGTTGCTGTGAGCTATGATATCATAACACTGTACTAAGTGAGACTCTCTCAAAAAAATAATCAGTGGGTTCAGTTATGGTTACCCTATTAATTATAAAGTACACAATTAGCTTTAGATCAACTGGCTTTAGCAGTCATTAGTATCCACAGGGCTTATTTCATTAGGGGTTGCAAAATATTTTGATATTTTAAATCTATCATTTCTTTTTTGTTTTATTGGTTGAGAATTTATGGTAATCAAGATTACCCTGTAATCTCCGTTAATTACCCTGCTGAACCAAGATATGGTTCTTTCAGGAAAGATAGATGGGTACTATATTGTTTCTCTTTACCAACCAGTTTTTAGAAGAATGCATTGTTTACATAGCATGATTCAAAGGAGGCCTATGAGATTTGTATGAATTGATCAGCTTTAAAATATTTGATATGTTTTAATCTATTATAGCCATTATTCTTTTTGATATCCAAATTATACCACCTTTGAATAGGGGAAGGTTGGCTACTAAGTCCTTTTGATATAATCCTAGTAATGTTTAATAGCTCCCTTACTTTCTGGTATGACAAGATCTCTAGGCTGATAGTTGTTTTTTTTTTTTTTTTTTTTTTTTTGAGACTGAGTCTCAAGCTGTCGCCCTGGGTAGAGTGCCATGGTGTCACAGCTCACAGCAACCTCCAAATCTTGGGCTTTAGTGATTCTCTTGCCTCAGCCTCCCAAGTAGCTAGGACTACAGGTGCCCACCACAATGCCTGGCTATTTTTTTTGGTTGTAGTTGTCAATATTGTTTGGCAGGTCCAGGCTGGATTAGAACCTGCCAGCTCCATTATATGTGGCTGGCTCCCCAGCTGCTGAGCTGCAGGCCCTGAGCCTAAATCATTGTATCTTAAGATATCAGTTGTTTTGAAGCCAGTTTTTAGCTAGGAATATTTAATTTTCTTCTTATTATTATTCTACCCCAAATAGGTTTCAGTTACAAAGTTATTACCTCCAATAAGTTCTGAAGTTCTTGTTCCCTTTTATTTAAGCAAGATGCGCACTGTTCAGAAAAACAAATTATGCTTGTATTCAGAGACTCACATCTCTGATCAGTCTCTTGAGATAATTTTTCCAGGTTGGTACTCAGTTTATCACTTTGTTTCACAGACTCTTCAACCAATTTTGTACCTTCTTGGTTAAAATGTCTGAGTTCCTGTGACAAGCCATCTGAAGCAGCATAAAATTTTTTACTTTGAAAAGTTGTTTTGTTGATTATATCATTAGATTTCCTACAAAAAGAGAATGACAATGTTGAAGTGGGAAACCAAGGCTCAAATGATATATAATTTCTCAAGATCACACAACTTTAAGGTGGCAGATCTGAACACAAGTTGTCTGGCTCCAGAGCCCAATGTCTTACGAATCTTCTACATTGATGAAAGATGCTTTGGCCAGTGTCTTTTCACAGCAGACTGACATCACATCTGATGCTAAATAAAAAGATCACCTTTTCTCATGAAAATTTTCCCAGTCCTCCTCCAGATTTGATGTTTTCTTTTATATCTTTTATAGTATTTAATTATACAGTTATTAAAATGAAATTTGTCTACTTGTATTCGTCTTATTAAAACTATGTTACTCTGGGGAATCTCCTACAGCCTCTGGTCTACCCCTAAATTGGCCAATCCATTATTCTGTTATGAAACAGCTTCCCTTGCCTAGTACATAAATAAATCATAAACATTATATTATTTTAAAAAGTCATCTATAATGCTTTCTTCTTCTTCTTTTTTTTTTTTTTTTTTAAGAGATAGAGTCTCACTTTATTGCCCTCAGTAGCGTACCACAGTGTCATGGCTCACAGCCTCCACCTCCTGGGCTTAGGTGATTCTCTTGCCTCAGCCTCCCAAATAGCTGGGACTACAGGTGTCCACCACAACACCTGGCTATTTTTTGTTGCAGTTTGGCCGGGGCTGGGTTCGAACCTGCCACCCTCAGTATATGGGGCCAGTGCCCTACCCACTGAGCCTCAGGCACTGCCCTATAACACTTTCTTATAATTAAAAGAAAAGTATACTGGGTATGACAAATTACAATATAACCCATATAGAATAGTATGACATAAACTTCATATAAAACTAATGCCAGTTAGAATATACACATAAAATTCCTCCTCCCAGTAAGTTTCCTTTTAGCATTCAAAGCCATCTCACAGGACCACAGCATTAAACCTTGGTGAATGAAAGTTACCCTTTATTACCACTAGATGGTACACCATATGAATAAACCAAGTAAGCAAACATGTTCAAAACCAAATCTACAAATTAAGTAGAAGTGATTGGAAAAGGAAAAGTAATTTAAGTGGTAAGCTTAGAGTCTACCAACATAAATCATTCCTCACAAGGAACTAACAACTTTGTGTGAAGATGAAATTTAATCAAAAGTGGTTACAAACCATGACAATCAATGCTAAAGCCAGTTATGTTCAGTGTACATAAACCTCTACCTACACTCATGAGTGATTGTGAGACAGAGTTCCTAGATCACACTAATAAACACTGACGTGGACAATTAATGTCAGGAAGACAGGAAAAATGACTTGCATAGCCCTTAAGATAGTATTTCATAACTCCCTTCCTACTTCAATTCTCCTCTAGTATTCCCTGCAAAGCTATGGAATGGGCTAGAAATCAGCCTACACACTAGGAATAAAAAAGAAATACTTTCTAGGTTCAGAATCTAAAGAGTTCACAATAGAATATCCTACACTTAATAGGACCAACAACAGGGCTGAAAACAGTTGAGACAATTTAGGTAGTGATATATAAGTGATGGCAAGAATTCTAAAGCAGCACTGCTTCAGCAGAAATGTAATGTGAGCCACATAAATAATTTCAAATTTTCCAGCACACCTTAAAAAAGAAAATAGGCAAGGCAATTCCATTAACAATGTATTAGATATATAGCACATACAAGAGATAAGATATATGGAAAAAATAACACACATGGGAATATTATGAGGTCCTTTCCAGGGGACTATAACAAACTGGTCAACATACAGAGGTGGTCGATACAAGGAACTAGGCCTACTGTACAGATATGTACATGTGTTAATGTCCAGTCTACAAAAATCAGGTCAACATAAAAAGGTGATCAAGTATGGAGGTTAACTTTAGGAGGCTGAGATAAGAGGATCACCTGAGCCAGGAGTTTGAGACCAGCATGATCAAGAGCAAGATCTCACCTCTACAAAAAATTGAAAAAATTAGCTGGGCATGGTGGTGCAGACCTATATAGTCTCAGGTACTTGGGAGACTGAGGCAGGAGGATCACTTGAGCCCAGGAGTTTGACGCTGCTGTGAGCTATGATGATACCACTGCACTCTAGCCCATGCGAAAAAGTGAGACCCTGTCTCAAAAAAAAGAAAAAAGAAGGCAGCACCTGTGGCTCAAAAAAGTAGGGTGCCAGTCCCGTATGCCAGAGGTGGCGGGTTCAAACCCAGCCCCAGCCAAAAACTGTAAAAAAAAAAAAAAAAAAGAAAGATATTGTAAATCCTAGGAAAAGTGGTAACAAAGTATGGCTTTGCACCCATAGCTCAGTGGTCTGGGCACCAGCCACATACACCAAGGCTGGCAGGTTCAGGCCTGCTAAACAACAGTGACAACTACAACAAAAAAATAGCCCGGCATTAATTATGCCAGGTGCTTGTAGTCCCAGCTACTTGGGAGGCTGATATAAGAGAATCGCTTAAGCCCAAGAGTTGGAGGTTGCTGTGAGCTGTGATACCAAAGCACTCTACGTAGGGAGGACGATGAGACTGTCTAAAAAAATGAGACAATGAGACTTTCTAAAAAAAACAAAAAAATAACTGAATAAGTAAATAAACAAGGAAAGAAAAAAAGAGCGAAAAAGAAACAACAAGCAAATGATGCAACAAATAGAAAATAACAAAACTGCAGCTTTTAATACAACTATCTCAGTATTTTAAATATGGTCTAAACAAATCAGTTGAAAGTTACAAATTGTTAAATTTGATGAAAAAGCAAAACCCAGCTATATGCTTTCTACCAGAAAAATCTACTTTAAATAAGAAAGGTTAGGGCCAGCTAGGCACCTATAGCTCAGTGGCTTGGGCACTAGGCCACATATATCAGAGCTGGTGGGGTCGAATCCAGCCCAGGCCTGCCAAACAAAAATGACAACTACAACCAAAAAATAGCTAGGCGCCTGTTGTCCCAGCTACTTCGGAGGCTAAGACAAAAGAATTGTTTAAGCCCAAGAGTTGGAGGTTGCTGTGAGCTGTAATGCCACAGCATTCTAACCAGGGTGACATAGTGAGATTCTGTCTCAAAAAAAAAAAAAGTCAGATAGCTTATTGTGCAATGACTTTGATACAATGACTTAACTCCACCATTGTAGTGCAAGGGCAGCCAAAGATTCCCAAAGGCAACATGTAAATAAATGGGGATAGCTGTCCAATAAAGTTATTAATAACAGGCATCCAGCCTGCCAGCCACAGTTTACCAAACTCTGCTCCAGTTAGTAAGTAAATTTTTTATCAGTGATATAGGCTAGAAATTATTAAATTAATTTAATGTGTATTCTAAGATTAAGGAAGTAAGAAAATAGATTCTTGATGACAGCCAGAGGCTACCTGAACAGGGAACACAAATGAAATGGAAAGATACTTATGTGCATGTATACATACATGTACACGCAAACACACAATAAAACATTAACAAAGGAGAAATGCGCTTGAAATGTGGTTCAACCTGCGACTACAGGTTGAAAGTATACAAAGGAGTTCATTATAATATTTAAAGCTTTTTCTTCTGAAATAACTTAAGACTTACAGAAAAGCTTAAAGGAATTCAAAAATAGCTTACTGCTGTATATTTTCTTGGACACCACTAAGTGGTTTCTGGATGTTCTCAAACTTTTCCTCCAAAGCACGGAATCTCTTTGTCCACAGATTTATTAATTGACCAAGTTCCTATAAGAAATGTGTAGGAAAGAGAAGAGACTTAAAATTATGACACTTGAACATTTTTTCTATATATGATGACAAGTATTTTTCATAGGTGAAATTACTACGAACTCTTGACAAGAGATCTTTAATTCCATCTATCCCCTACTACAAAGGAAAGCACTGGAAGTGATATTAAGAGCACAATACAGGGATTTCTGGGAGGGAAAATTAGCAAATTTTGCTATTTTAACTATTAATAATGAATTACTTTCAAGGTACCTCAAGAGTAATCAGACAAACCTGGACGTCACATTATGTTTAAGAACATTAATGGATGGGAGGCTGGATTGCTGAGACCAGCCTAGGTTGGGATCTCAAGACAAAGATCCCATGTCTACAAATAGCTGGGTGTTGTGGTGGACGCCTGTAGTCCCAGCTGTTGGGAGGCTGAGGCAAGAGGATTGCTTGAGACCAAGAATTTGAGGTTGCTGTGAGCTATGAAGACATAGCACTCTACCAAGGGCAACAAAGTGAGACTCCATCTCATAGAAAAAAGAAAGAACTTTTAATGGATACACAATTGATTTTTTCATTGATAACATTACTAGAAGGGAAACTAATGCGGATAATCTGCTGCAGTGGTTCTCAACCTTCCTAATGCCACGGCCCTTTAATACAGTTCCTGTGGGGTGCCAACCACAGGTTGAGAACCACTGATCTCCTGGGTCAAGCAATCCAAAAATATTATCAACCACTAGAGCTGAATAATTTTACAGAACCTAGTTGGATGTTAATAAAATGTAAATAGAGTCTTATCTTTGTTCATATTTGACATCTTTAAAAACAGGCTCTTATAAGCACAAAACATGCTACATTAAAGACCAAGAAAGTGCTGAAAGTAGATCCAGCATTCCTGTTCCCTCTTGGTTGGCCAATATCTCCGAGTAACACTTCAGCTAACAATAAATGTCTAATATTCTGATTATGAATAAAGCCTGTCAGTATTTTTACTAATTTCAAAGTAAGGAGTAACATAGGTACTATATCAGATTTATCTACATGTAAATATGTGTGGAGTTTTACATAATGGTTTTATTAGTGTTCAAGTTTTAAAAACTCTAATAATTAACTCACTTAATAAACTTGCTTCCTTATAACCAGGAAGCCTTTCAGATCAGTCTTTTTGTTTTGATTTCTTAATGAGTTGTCTACCAATTTTTTTTCTTTGAGACAAAGTTTTACTTTGTTGCCCTTGGTAGAGTGCTGTGGCATCATAGCTCATAGCAACCTCAAACTCTTGGGCTTAAGTGGTTCTTTTGCCTCAGCTTCCGGAGCAGCTGCGACTACAGGTGCCCACCACAATGCCCAGCTATTTTCAGAGGTGAGGTCTTGCTCTTGCTTGAGCTAGGCTCAAACTCCTGAGCTCAGGTGTTCTACCTACCCTGGCCTCCCAAAGTGCTAGGATTACAGGCATGAGCCACCACAGCAGGCCTAGTTATCTACCAATTTTAACAATTTCAAAACAACTAATTTATAAAAAAGCAGATCAGCCTTAAAATATATCTTAAAAGTTCTCAGGTTTAAGGTAAATACACTATGCAGAGGTATGAGAAACTGCTGCAATTTCAAATTGCTAAGAAACACATAGAAAAAAACTAAAAAATGGCTCTTTTAGGTAATATAATCACTACCACCACCTATAGGATGATGTAAATACTATTAGATGCTCATAATGTCATTTCCTCTTTAGAAAACTGAGCTACTAAAAGAATATCTATCTATATTAGCAGGAGGAATAAACACACAGTGAGTTGCTCAATAAATATTAACTATTATTTTTACTAATTTTTGATGTTATCCTCTCTCTGAAAAGTTTCATGCTTATCAACTAGAAAAAATTAGCAATATTATTTTAAAGTGGCTTTAAATGCAGGTATTATCTAAAAGAAAATTCATGGAAGTGTTTCCTTCTCTTGTTTAAAGTGATAGGGATATGAATTCCTTCCCCTTCATTTTCCAAAGAAAAAGAACTCTTTTCTCCTCACTATGTCATGTCAAGTTTTGTTGACCAAAGAGTAGTTATGCCATATCATCATAGGCTCATTTAATAAAACGTTAGATGCTCATTACTAAAATTTTTAGAATACCAGAAGTTGTTTTTCATATACCTAACATTTATAGATTGTGGTTTGGAGTTTTAGTTTTGGTTTAAAGCTTCATATACTGAGGAAGATAAATCATGAATTACATTTATAACCAATCAATAAAAATTAAAAGCACATTAATTTACATTTTAAATGTCATCAATGAGACAGAAACAATAAGAAAGCAGGTCTTAGTTAATGAAAGGTAGTAACTATCCACATCATCCTATCAAGTTATAAAGTAACTACATGTTAAATGTTATAACCATTTTCCTACAAGAGTATGTTTCTCCATATTCATCTTTCGCCTAGATGTGAGGAAATATCGTTTTGTTTATCATACTATGCTTCAGCATAGGGTTCTAGATGTAGTAAATCCTTAAATATTAACTGATCAAAAGAAGTATTCTCAATTGTTTTATATTCATTACTGCTATAGCCAACAATAGCTATGGTATTTTCTTTCTTTTGGTGGGGGGGCAGGCTCTCACTTTGTTGCCCTCAGTAGAGTGCTGTCGTGTCACAGCTCACAGCAACCTCCAGCTGTTGGGCTTAGGCAATTCTCTTGCCTTAGCCTCTTAGTAGCTAGGACTATAGGTGCCCGCCACAACACCCAGCTACTTTTTTTTGTTGTTGCAGTTTGGTAGGGGCTAGGTTCAAACCTGCCACCCTTGGTATATGGGGCTGATGCCCCACTCACTGAGCTATAGGCACCACCTGGCTATGGTATTTTCACAGTTCTAAATTAGTTTTACAACATTCAAATTGTGTAACATAGATTATTAAGTCATATCAAGTTCATCATAAAGTTTTCGTTTTCTTTTCTTTTCTTTTCTTTTTGAGACAGAGCCCTGGGTAGAGTGCCATAGCATCACAGCTCACAGCAACTTCCAATTTCTGTGCTTAAGCAATTCTCTTGCCTCAGCCTCCCAAGTAGCTGGAACTATAGGCGCCCACTATAACACCCGGTTATTTTTTGGTTGTAGTTGTCATTGTTTGGCAGGCCCGGCCCAGATTTAAACCTACCAGCTCTGGTATGTGGCTGGTACCTTAGCCACTTGAGCTATAGGTGTCACCCATAAAATTTTCTTTTATACTCTCTAAGTCAGCTAAACAAGATACCTGTGAATACAGCCAGGGGTCGTGGTGGGTACCTCCCAGCTACTTGGGAGGCTGAGGCAAAAGAATCGCTTAAGCCTAAGAGTTTGAGGTTGCTGTGATCTGTGACACCACACACTCCACCGAGGGCAACATAATGAGACTCTGTCTCCAAAAAAAAAAAAATAAGATACCTGTGAATGGGTTTGCTCTATTGTCTTTAGGTCTTCAGCATATATTCCACATTGTTTCTGTGATTCAGCCAAGGAAGAAATTGTATTTTCTTGTAGTTCATGTAGATTATTACAAAGTATACTGAGGAAGCCATCCAATTCCTTTTTCTGATCTTCTATCTTGGAAGAAAAAATGAAAATTAGTTTCATTCTTAAATAACATGTCAATTTTTAGATATTAAGAACACAACATTTGTTACCTTATCAGCCACAGTCAATGAGGTCTTAAAAATATGCTTTAGCTGACTATTGATTTTCAATATAGACACCATAGTGGAGGATAAAATCATTTCCAGAGAACTTAGAAGGTCAGTCTTAAGCACATTCTGGAATAAACAAACAGATGGTTAAAAAACAATATTTTTTACTTCCATAAACCTAGCTGGTTAAATGATAATATCTTAAAATAGTTTAGTAACTACACATGCACATTAAAATTCTAAGTTTCCATCCTCCATCCTGTATAGCCCACAGAGCTAAATCTGTATATCTAGAGTTTATATTCAGAATAAGTCACTTAGTCCTGCCTCCAGTAAGTAATTAAGAAAATGGTCACTTAAAGGCTGGGTGAAGTGGTTCACCCCTGTAATCCTAGCACAGGACAGGAGGATCCCCTAAGCTCAGGAGTTCAAGACCAGCCTAAGCAAGAGTGAGACCCTGCCTCTACAGAAAATGGAAAAATTAGCCAGGCATTGTGGTGGGTGCCTATAGTCCCAGCTACTCGGGAGCCTGAAGCAGAAGGATCCCTTGCACTCAGGATTTTGAGGATGCTGTGAGCTAGGCTGATCCATGGCATTCTAGCCTGCAGCAAGAATGGAAGGCGGGTAGATCTCCTGAGCTGTGACGCCACAGCACTCTACTGAGGGCAACATAGCGAGACTTTGTCTCAAAAAATAAATACATACATACATAAATAAATAAAAATGAAGTTAGTCTGGGCACAGTGGCTAACGCCTCTAATCCTAGCACTCTGGGAGGCCAAAGCGGGTAGATTATTTGAGTTCAGGAGTTGGAGACCAGTCTAAGCAAGAGCAAGATCCCATCTCTAAAAACTAGCTGGGGTATATGGTCAGCACCTCTAGTGTCCCAGGTGCTTGGGAGGCTGAGGCAAGAGGATCGCTTGAGCCCCAAGAGTTTGAGGTTGCTGTGAGCTACGACTCCACAGCACTCTACCAAGGGAAACAGTGAGACTTTGGCTCAAAAAAAAAAAGAAAAAGAAATTGTCACTTAGCGTACAATAATTTCTTAAATGTCTAATGAAAAAGAAGTCAGAAGAATTGAGAAGAATGAAAAATGAGTTAACTGATAACATTTTAATATTCCAAACTATGGGTAAAATATTATCAAATGGCATCACACACTATTTTCATAAAAGAAACAGCAATCAAGGCAGCAAACTTCATTGTAGTCTCCTTTTTAGAAATTGTAACGCCACCCTGTTCAAACAACAGCCATCAACATTGAGGCAAGACCCTCCAGCAGCAAAAACATCGACTTGTTAATGACTTAGATGAGCATTAGCATTTTTTAGTAATAAAGTATTTTTTAATTAAGGCGTATACAATGCTTTTTAAGACATAATGTTATTGCATACTTAAATAGACTGCAGTGTAGTATAAACTTTTATATGCAGTAGGAAACCAAAAAAATTCATGGTTCACTTACTGCAATTTTCACTTTAGTGTTGTTGTCTGAAACCAAACATGCAACATGTCTAAGGTATACCTGTGTATACAGACCACCAGTTAGTGAATGAATCAATTTTTAAAGTTGTTATTAACAGAGTATCTTTTAACTCTGTCAAATTTGAGTGACTAAAATAGTTGTCATACAAGCACTGAATCAAGTCAAAGGATCAGCTAACAGTTGGTGGTATTTACTTGGAAAATGTTTAATAAGTATTATTAATCTCAAAAAAGGAGGCAGAGAGCCTATGCAAATAAAAATAGGTGATACAGACAAGAACTTCTTAGACAAACTATACCATTACAGAATAATATTAAGTATGATTAGATGAGTAACTTCTATAGAACTGTGGGAAAAAAGCTTTACACTTAAGCCCCAGAATGGCAGGGCCACACAGATCTAACTCCAAGAATTATTCCTAAAATTACTAAAAGTCATTTTTCTTGGATCACTATTACATATTACTATAGTTTTAAAATTGAGTACCCAATATTCCCTTTTGGTTGGGCCAAGATCCTTGGAGAAAGGATGACTTATCAACTTCTAGGCCAACTAACAAGTCATGGGTCCCCTGAAATCATGTGGTACTAGGCCTGCCCTTTATTCATTAGAAATCTCACCAATAATGCCCACTTCTGACGTTACAAGATATGAGTGAAGAAAGTTTCAAATGTTAGTTATATACATTTGGAGATTAATCTGGGAAGAAAAAAACAGTAGAGAAATTTGTCTTTAAAAATATAAACATAGTGATATGTCTCATAGTGATATGTCTATTAGTGTCTAGCAAAGCTTTGGATGACAGGATAACAGTCAACATTGTTTTTCCAAGACTTATCAAATGTAATTCTCCAAAAATATTTTAAAAGATATACTAACAATCAATTCTTGTTGCACAGTTTTACTTTCGGCTGCTACTGACTGTTCTTTCAATATCATATTCAGAATCTGAGAAACATGAGTAGACACGTTTTCTGGAATAGATCTGAGAGATCCAAGTGCTACTGTAGTAATGCTGTCTAATGCAGAGACACTGGAAGACA